GGAGCGCTCAAATACGGTGGGGCTGTTTTCAGCATAGTCAGTCGAATCGCAAACGAACGGCTTCATTACGTTCGTATGGTTTTGTCGCAGTCATTACGAATAGAGAAATCAGCGATGTATTGAAACAGTGACCGACGACATGCGATTGCTTGACATGGATGCCAGCCACCAAAAAGTTAAGGAAATTTTTAGGAAAAACTACATAAAACAGAACCTTCTTTACATTCTCCTCTCGTTTACTTTGCAATGTGCTCTGCTTTGTAAATATAATGTCCGCCTGCTTGGAGAAGTCTGCCAGTTGTGCTTCCAAGTCTTTTTGCTGCTCCTGAAAAAAATATGGTTATCGAGAAATTTTTCTCCATAAGAAACCTTTGACCAGATTCCTTCATCACTTCGTGGTTTGCAATGCAATATAAAATCAACTTGATACGACAGCCTAAACATGGCTATCTTGATGCGCAGGGCTCAGACTCTCTGCTTGGTTTGATTTTTTGGGTCACTTATGATAAAACAAACTATCCGAAAACAGAAATACAATCATTTTACTACAACCATGCAGAAAAGGACCTCGCTCTATCCCTTTCAAGGACGTTTGAATCCTTTACTGTCTTCAATCATGGAACATAATCAATCATGCCTCACCTGTACATCTTCCAACTCTCTATTCAACTTCTCTGCACTTTCTTCGTATTCCATCAAATGCTCATCAAGTTCAGCAATGCGGCGAACTATTTCATTCAATCTATAAATTGAATTTTATTTCAGGGCCAAATGAAGCTGTGGAGCTTGTAAATGGAAAAAAATAGTAAAAAAAAACAGTAAATAATGAACCATGAGCTATAACGAAAATGACAAAAAAAAACAATGAAAGTAAGAAAGATGAATATTTCAAAAAGCAAACGCATTATGTTCACCTCTGAATAACTGAATTCAGTTCAGCAGTTTCCGCTTGCAAGTTATGCCTTTTCTCATCTACAGCAATGTCACTGATTTTCTGAAAAATAAAATCATTAAAAACTTTAATGCATATCTAACAAGTTGCACTGGTAAGACTGACACTATAATGCTAATTCAACGCTTACCGCTGTCAGACTGTCTCTTTTACGAAGAAGATTCGTTCTGAGTTGATTCTCAAGCCGCTGTTTTGTTGTCTCAAGCGTGCTTCGTTCTTTCGCCACTTGGTCAAGCTTTTGCTTTTTCTCCAGAATTTCCCGCTGTAAAACCACTTTTGTAATGAAACTGCACTATATTAGAAAGGAGAACTGAGAGCTGCATGCCATGCAAGCTATGATGTACCTGTAATCGTTCGCATTCCTAACTGCTCTGATTTACTGATCTGTGACAGGAATTCTGATCCAATCTGACTCTCATAGCCGTCCAATTGTGCTCGCAGCTCACGTACACGATTTCGAAGATTGAGCAGTTGAGCTTTCTAGAAGTGTGCAATTCAAAAAAAGGCGGATCAATGCTGAAATTTAAAGCCACCCTTCAAGGCTCTCATGACGAATTGAGTAAGTGGGAGTCCACAAATGTGAAAATGGACAGCAAACTGGGGAAAATAAAAAATACTTGCTGTGCGTCCCGCCTCTGGACATAAACTAATTTCATAAT